CGTTATTATGTAATTTTTGAAAAAATGCGCGTAACAATGAATTAAACGCGCATGCGCATTCGTATAGCACCACTGAAAAAAAATAAAAATAAAAAAGGATTTTTTAATAAAAAAATTGGGGGGCGGGTAGTTTTTCACTTATTATGTAAATAATTAATTAATTTTTTTCTTTTTTTTTTTTGTTACAGGAAAAGCCGTTTCGGCGTTTTATTTTTCTTATTACCGAGTTAATAACAAACCGTCAAAATTTCTTTCTTAAATTTTAAACAGTCTTTTACAACAAATGTCAATTATCTCAAAAGAAGGTAAGAATAACAAAAATTTTTTAATTTTTTGTTTCGTTAAGCCGGAAGTGGCGGTGATGTATACTCCTGTAATCCAACTACTCGAAGGTTAGGTGTAGAGGATGTTTTAAGGGAGCGGAGGTTGTGGGATTGGATTTTCCAAGGCTACGGGTAAGCCTACTATTTGTATACCTTAGGGAGAGCCCATCGCTCTCTCGAGAGCTCCCTTAGGGAGAAGTCATCGAATCGAGAGTCGTGGGTTCAAATTCTGGGACTGGGAGTTTAATTTCAACTTCAAAAAAGAACAGACCTGAACCTACATAAGAGGATAAGTGTCCTAGAACCCTTTCGAGGCATTGGTAATGTGCCGACCCTTTTTCGAGGGGGTGAAACTGGGTATTTGATCCGAAATAGGGTAAAATGCGGAGCTGCGATGTGAAAGGAAGGGATTTGCGACCCCGGACACTCGCAGACTCTTCGGAAGAGGCAGGAACGATGAAAACAACTCGGGACTGTCTATCGAAGGATAAAAAAGGGAAATACCGGGATCTTCCTTGGGTGGGGCTCCCTTCATCCCGAATATGTGGACCTGATGGTTCAGGCTCAGGAGAGGGTTTAGGCTGAAATGAAGGCTAAAAACTCCCACAACCGTCCCTCCCCCGGAAAATGGAGTACGGTGAAGGAGTTTTAGTCGGGTAGTGGCTTCTGCTAAATCCCACACTCTCCCTGCTACCGTTTGGGGAAGTTATTGAGAAATTTATTTCTCTTGGGTTAACAACAAAAAGAAAAAGTTTTAAAAATGTCGAGTTTATTTTTTTGTTGAAGTGTTTTTCAATGTTGGTAACACTGATGAAAAATTTTTTCCTATATTGACTCTTTCTCCGTTATTATTATATATTATTGGTAAACATTTCTATCGACTTGAAATTTTTATTTTTTATCACGATGTCGAGCCGATTGAAAAAAAACATTTCGTCGTCGTGTAAAAATAATAATAATAATAATAATAATAATAATTACGGTTACGTTGCTTAATAATAATAATAATAATAAAATTCGAATAAAA